GCGGCCTCGTCCGGTTCAGGCTGGAGGAGGGCCCTGGGGCCCTGGGAGAGTGACCTGGAGGACGAGGACACTGCATCCGGAGGCAACAGGACCGCTGTCTACAGCTACTGGGCATGGACGTCGGATGCGGGGCCTATGTGCCGCCTGCACCTCTGCCTGCTGCTTGGCGGGGCCCTCAGCGCCCTGGGGCTGCTGCAGCCCTAGGCATGGCAGGGCTCAGAGCCAAATCGGCCCCCCAGCCCGCACCCTCCCCGCAGGCCGCAGCCCACAGCCCACGGTCCTGGTGTCCAGAAAGGCTGCGTGGGTAATGCCTGCCAGTCCCAGCAGGAGCTGCATCCTCTCTTCCCTGTGACCCAGGTGCCACCTCCTGTTCACCATCCTGCCCAAGCCCCTCCCGAACCTCCCCACAATCAGCTCCAGGATGCCTCACCCACCATTTACAGGTCAGGGGGTTCCCCCAGAAAGGCAGGTGTCCCGTGGCTCCTGTACCGTCTGGGCCAGCTGCCTGCCATCTCTCCAGAGCTGCCTCAAAGACAGGTGCCAAGACTAGGCTGTTCCGGCCACTCCGTCTCCTTGGAACCCACCCTGGACACTTGAGCGGTGTGGACAGTGCTGACCACCAGGCAGAGAGGTGCACAGAGGACTGTGGTGGCCTCCCCCATAGAAGCTGTCACAATGGACTAAAGGAATTGATTTGGAGAAGGGAAGAGGTTCCTGCTCACAGACTGAAGCCTGGAGAATGTCAGGTGCTGACCCTCTGTGGATCTCAGGGCCAGGCTTGCCCACTCGTGGTTCTGTGGACAGTTCCCAGGAGGACACCCTGCCCACGGGCTGCCCTGCCCCCCGGCGCTCTGTGCAGATGCTCTGGGACCCACTGCCAGGGCCTCCCTTGGAGCCACTATGCTCTGACTTGAAACAAGTCACTTGACTCTTCACGGGACCTACTTTGGAAAAAGCAACATTTTGTTTAAACATCAAGATCTTTCCATTCCCTTTGAACTTCAGGTTCAAATCCCGGGACTGCAACTGCCACTCCCACTGAAGAGCCCTCCCCGGCCTGGTTCGCTGTGTTCTAGGCAGACAGGTAGCAAGTAGGCAGCAGCAACCCTCAGCGGACAGCACCCCCTCAAAGGTGAGGCTGTGGTGCAAATGGAAGAGGCTGGGAGCTCTAGTCGCATGACCATAGGCAGTACCTGGAGGAAGGCGGAGGTGGCTGGGCCCCAGGACCCAGCAAGGCATGAGAGCCTCCCTCAGTAGAAGGAAGCACCCAGGAGGCAGAGCTCCTCTAACATCTCGGGGTGTCTAAACACTCCAGACATTCTGAAGGTAGGGCCACAGGGCTGATGTCGAGGAGCTTCTAAGGGAACACAGGGTTTGCCTATGGCACCCAACACCCCTAAGTATAAGGCCAACCCTTAGCCTCTGGGGCATCTGTGAATTCAGCCCTGGGGGAGCAGCTCTTCGTGTACTCCAGCTCTACCACCACCGCACCCCGAGGCAGGGCAGCTCCCAGGCTGGCTCCTGGGGACCTCACCCTCCCGGTGCTCAGCAAGAGCCTCCCAGAATGCGCCCTCGTCCCCTGGACCTCAGGGCCTTTGGACTCAGTGACGGACAGCACGCAGGGAGCCTGTCACCTCTGCTCTCCCACAGCTGGCTCTGGTCAGGGGCCAGGGGCCTCTAGGCTTTCCACAGGACTCGGACCAAGTGTTCTTCTCCAAAACACGAAGCTGCAGGAGGAAGCCTCGGCAGCCTCCTGTGTCCACACTGCCAGTATTCTTGGGGTGCAGCGAGCCCAGACGCTCCTCCTTCCATTCCCGACCAAGCTCCATGCTACCAAAGACCAGTGAGCCGTGGCCAAGCCCTGCCCAGGGCCTCAGAGGCAGTGTGACCGTCCTGCTACTTTATCTGCAGGGAGCAGGAAAGTCATCGTGCACAAGGCCGAGCTTTCTCCCCAAGGGCCCGACATGTGGGCCCAGTGTGGCTGCGCTCAGCCACTCAGATGACCACCAGGACTGAGCCATCAGCTCGCTCTGGAATCGAGATGCCACACTCCAGTCAAGAGCGCATTTCATCCCCAACCCTGGGAGCACGTCTGGCGTTTGGTGCGGGCCCGAATCTTTGAATCCCTCAGGGTTCCCGCAGGAGGCAGAGGGTGCTCAGGTGGATCATCTCGGGGTTAGCCAGGGTTTGTGGAGTGTGGGGAACCCACGTGGGTAGTGGGACCTGGGGGGAACCCACATAAATAGTGGGAGCTAGAAGGGAACCCAATGGGTAGTGAGACCTACAGGAAGGCCAGGCCACCCCGACAGAGCAGCCAGGGCTACTGACCGGGAATCTGCTCCCCGCACCCCACCCATCCTTCCTCTGTTCTTTTCCTGCCCCGTGGACCCCTTCAGGTGCAATGACAAATGCTGGGAGGCACCTGGGAAGTGCCATCGTCCATCAGCTAGAAGGTGCTCAGAAGCAGTGGGAGCCCTAGGTCCCCGCTGACCATACCAGAGACCCTCCCAGCCAGTACCCGTTACCAAGGGGACAGGCCAGTCCTTGGGTTCTGCCACGAGTACTGGACCCTCCTGTCCACATTTGTGTGCACATTGCAGTAGCGTCGTGAAATAAACACTGTCCTGGCAACGACGCCTCCTCATTGCAGGACCCAGGACACTGCATCAGGTGACTCCACATCCCTCAGCTGCTAACCAGCTCGCCTCCCACTTCTCCCTGGTGACAGGGGCCCTGACACAAGCGCCCAAGGTGCTGAGGGTGACTGGGCCAACAACAGAGATGAGGCTTTTAGTTTAAAACATTTAAATTAGATTATAGCTTCACTCCTTCCGGGACAATGTCCACTTCTCCATACGAGAAGTGAGCAGAAGTGAATGTCCTCGCCAGGCCAGGCACGCAGGACTGCTCAGGGACGTCGGTGCCTGACGTCCACACCCCAGGCACTGTCCCCTGGAACCAGGAGCTGGCCTGGCTGTGGAGCAGCAGAAGGGCGCAGCCCCTTCCTGGAGCAGAGACCTTAGTGTAGTGACTGGCATAGAACTTTTGGGAGAGGAAGCCCTGAGTGTCAAAACCCAGGCATGAAGGTCTGGGACACTACATGTCTCTGGGGCCTGGAGCCTGGCTGGGGTCTGTGGGGGGGAAGCTCTGCAGGACGTCCCGGTCCAGCATCACGGGGCCCAGCAGCCCACTGCGGAAGGCCCGGAGGAAGTCACGGGCTGCTGCGGAGTAGTTGGGCTGGATGACGTTCACGTTGCCTGGGGAAGGCAAGAGGGTCTGGTGAGGAAGGGGCTCCCATGAAGGATCCCACCCAGCCTGCCCTCAGGAACAGCGACCCTGTGGAGCTCAGGCACCAGGACCCACTCAAAAAGAAAACAGCGAGCCCGGCTGGTGTCACTCAGTGGTTGAGCTGAGTCAACCTTTGACCCAGGAGGTCACGGTTCAATTCCTGGTCAGGGCACATGCCCAGGTTGTGGGCTCAATCCCCAGTGTGGGGTGTGCAGGAGGCAGCCAATCAATGGTTCTCTCTCATCATTGATGTTTCTATCTCTCTCTCCCTCTCCCTTCCTCTCTGAAATCAATAAAAATATATTAAATTAAAAAATAAATAAAACAGCCCTAACCGGTTTGGCTCAGTGAATAGAGCGTCAGCCTGCGGACTGAAGGGTCCCAGGTTCGATTCCAGTCAAGGGCATGTACCTTGGTTGCGGGCACATCCCCAGTAGGGGGTGTGCAGGAAGCAGCTGATCGATGTTTCTCTCTCATCAATGTTTCTAACTCTCTGTCCCTCTCCCTTCCTCTCTGTAAAAAATCAATAAAATATATTTAACTAACTAACTAACTAAATAAATAAATAAATAAAACAGAGCGAGCCTCCTGAGGCTGCAGAGGAAAGGGTGAACACGGAGTGCACCCAGCAGGGAGGCTGGACAAGAACCTTCACTCCCACAACAGCTTCATGTCCCCCAGTGTCCTCCCTGGACAGCCAGGCCGGCTCCAAGGACAGGCCCGCTAAGCCCCGAGTCTCACCTGTGCCCGTGAGCACCTTCACCTTCTGCGTCTTCCCCAGCTTCATGGCCACACGCTTCAGCACACTTGCCACGTCATCGCAGGCCTCGCCCAGGCCATAGTGCTGCACGTACCTAAACAGAGCAACCGTCAGCCAGCAGGAGCCAGGGCGGCCTGTGAGGTCACATCTGGCTCCACAGGGACCTGTGAGTGTGGGTGACTGGTGTCAGTGTAGGTGACAAGGTAGGAGGAGGAATTACAAAGCAGCTTCACAGCTGTGTCTGTGTATCAAACGCATCCCACTATATACACTCTAACCCAGCCGTGGGCAAACTACAGCCCGCGGGCGGGATTCGGCCCGTTTGAAATGAATAAAACTAAAAAAAAAAAAAGACCGTACCCTTTTATGTAATGATGTTTACTTTGAATTTATATTAGTTCACACAAACACTCCATCCATGCTTTTGTTCCGGCCCTCCGGTCCAGTTTAAGAACCCATTGTGGCCCTCGAGTCAAAAAGTTTGCCCACCCCTGCTCTAACCCCTAGAGTGCTGGGGAGTGCGATCGCGCTCCTCCTGTCTTTCGCCAAAAGTGCAGGGAGCGCTATCGCGCTCCTCCTGCAGTGTCACTATTAGATGCTAGTAGTTCACTCTTTATTGATAGATGGCACCTAAGTGCAGATAATACTTATGATGCCGAATGTTTGTAGTTCTAAAATTGACCACTGGCATTTATCTGCCTAATTTTTTACAGGTACTTGCGATTCATAATTTTTTCCCTAAACTGCTGTAAAATCAGCAAAAATGCCTTGGCAATTTTAGCATAGTTCCTAGGATATTGGCTGGCACTCAAAGGGCTAAATCAGCAGTCGCCAACCTTTCGGACCTCACGGACCACCAGTGGCCCGTGGACCACCAGTTGGCGACCGCTGCTTCAAATGATGCACAAACTGTTGTTTGTCTGCAATACCCTAACCGTGCCACTTTGGAAACTACGCTAGCGTAGGAGAGAGGATGGGCTGGCCTGCCCTGCACCCGGCACTCACCCAAAGAGCTGGTGCCTGTTGAGGGTGTAGAGAAGGTAGTCGGCCAGAGTCTCCTCCCCAACCAGGTGGTCCAACACAGTTCCTGGAAACAGGCAGTGAGGGTGAGTACAAGCTCTTGGTCTCAGCCAGAGGCTGCGAGAAGGCCATGCCCAGACCTGACCATTCTGCCCGGCTGTACAAGGGACAGTGCGGCCAGCGGGTTAGTGTGGCACAACCACAGGGCTGGGGCTACACTGGGCCACAGGTGGGACCCTGAGGGTGGCTCACCACATAGGGCCAGCTTTAGGCCCGTCTCCACGCTCTCAATCCGAGGAGCCAGCACTCCAGGAGTGTCCAGCAGGAACATCAGCGGCCGCTCACTCACCTGTGGGCACAGAGGGCAGTTGGCTCACCACTCAGGAAGTGTCAAGCAGCCCTCCCACCAGGCCTGTTGGATAAGCCCTCAAGCAGGAGACTCCCGAATGAACCTACCCTGATGGGGTTGTTTTTACAAGCTCTTGGCTTCCCCACAGGAATCCGCTCCCATTTAATTTGGAGATAACAGCAAGAGCCCCCACAGCCCCATCTTTTCCTCCCAGGAGGAAGGGAATGTGCAGAGAGGTAATGCAACTTGGCTCTGCCCTGACTACTTTCTGACCTTGGGCACGGGACGCAACGCCTCTGTGCCTCAGTTTGCTTATCTGTAAACAGGGACAAGCGTGCTCTCCCCATAGGTCCGGTGTGAGGTGGGTGCAGTGCCTGGCCCGTGGCGAGCACTCGTGGGAATGGAGATTGAGGGAAAGGACAGAGAGGAGCATGCCACCTTGCAAGCCCTCAGGGGGTGACAGTCATCTGTGTGTGTGGAGCTCTGGGCCCAGGAGCCGAGGCCCCTACCTGAATTTTGGACATCACAGCTCTAGTGATCCCAGGCTCACCGCCCACCCTGGTGGCTTTTCCTGCAGGAGAAACAGGGATGTCAATATACATTAAACACACCTGGCGTATCAGGTACAGAACAAGCAATGAAGCACATGGAAACCTGCAAAGGCCCAAATGAACTTGAGTTCAGGGTTCTGCCCCAAACCCGCTCATGGCAATGACCTTTTCAACCAGGTTCCAGCAATGCCTCCCCATTGCCTGCACAGGTGCTCCAAGACCTGTAGAGGGAAAGGGGCAAGGACCTGACAGTGAAGGTCAGACCACAGCTGCTCCTTTCAGCGGTCATCTCCCTCCCTCCCAAACTTGACCCTGCACCCTCCTAATCTGCCCCACGGCACTGCCCCCAGCACTGCCCAGGGTAGGCTGTCTGTGAGGCTGACCCGACCAAGGGCCAGCCTGTGCTTTGGGGCCCAGTTCAGGGTGTGTCCCAAGCAGACTCTGCACCCTCTGCCAAATCAACTGGAGGGTAAAGGGACATGTGTGTCCACTGGTGGATGGTTAGCAAATGTGGTCCATCCACACAACGCAGTATTATTCCGCCTTAGAAAATATGAGGTCTGGCACCTGCCACAACCTGGATGGACCTGGATGGAGGCCATTATGCTCAGTGACATCAGTCACAGGTGCTACATTCACAGACCCAGAGACAGGAAGGAGATTCCAGGTTCCCAGGGCTGGGAGAGAGTGGAGTGTTGAGTTATACAACTTAATGCCACCGATTTTTTAAGCCACAATTAAAGAAAAAGGAACTTTAAAAAATAGATGACTAAGACCACCCTCCAAAGAGTACCAGAAGCAGCGCCTGTCAATCAGAGTGCAGTGCAGTTTACAGCCTTCGGGTTGTGCACTGGAAACAGTGCTAATAAAGACCACACGCTGACACTGACGGGGTGATGCCAATGCAGACACCGTTCTAATCTTCCAAATACTTAAGAAAAAAGGGGCAGGCACAGTTAGAGTGCCGTGGACTCTCCTGTGTGCCTTGAAATCAGAGAACATGCATGAAGCAGGGAGAGAGCCAGGGGCTCCCAGATGTGATCCTCAAGCAGGCTCCTGACACCCCTGCCTGACATCAGACCCCATGGGCTGTGTAACACGTTGGGCACAATGGATCAAAAACTTAAATGAAGCCCTGATTGGTTTGACTCAGTGGATAGAGCGTCAGCCTGCGGACTGAAGGGTCCCAGGTTCGATTCTGGTCAAGGGCACATGCCTGGGTTGTGGGCTTAATCCCCAGTGTGGGACGTGCAGGAAGCAGCCTATCAATGATTCTCTCTCATCATTGATGTTTCTATCTCTCTTTCCCTCTCCCTTCCTCTCGGAAATCAATAAAGATATATTTTTTAAAAAAACTTAAATAAAAAGGCAAAATCATCAAAGTTTAGAACAGTCATCCGTGTACCAAGCAGAGAGAACAAATTAAGTGTGAAATGTCACGGGAGGACTCTCTCACCGTGAAACCACACAGCAGGCTGCTAAGTGGGTCCTTTCGGTGGAAAGAGACAAGCCAAGGACTGTGCCCAAGGACTTATGGGCTGAGTTTCATCTCAGGACAAGAGCAGCTGCTCTGAAGGAGTGATGAGGCCGTCGCAACCTCAGCCGACGTGGCTGGCAGTACCTTTCCTGAGGTGCTGTCTCCTGAGCGAGTTGATGAGTGAGGACTTGCCCACGTTGGGGACGCCAATCACCATGATGCAGAACTCCACATTCTGCAGA